GAGGTTCATGTCGTCCATTAGATCTAGAAGCTCGGTTGCTTCGCGGTCCGGCGCTCGGATATCGCTGCCTCCCCACAGCTCATGGTGTAGGTTGAAGTCACCGACGACGATTTGCTCGACGTGCTGGCGTGTTTCCAGTGTCGTTCGTAGCTGCTGTAGGACCGGCTGTCGATCTTCCTCCCGCGGTGACGGGTTGTACACATTATGTAGCACCAGGCTTGTTTCGGCAACGTCATCTGTTGCGATAACCAGAGTGCAGAGATCTCTGCTAACCTCCCTAAACTGCCAACGAGAGTGGTCGAGCTTCTTGCTGATGAAGAAGCAGACCCTGGCCGGGCCATTCTCCTCGCTCGAGGGGTAGCACAGGTGGAACCGATCCTTGGCCGGATGGTGCGTCGTTGCGCTGTAGGGGTTCCTCCAGGGTTCCTGAATAGTAATGATGTCGTAATTATCGATGTTCGGGTCACGGAGAAGTGTCGCCATGACGGTGTCCTTTGGTTTTCTTACGTTGCACTGTAGTATTGTGAGTGTATGTTGTGCGTTCATTCGCTATCGTCGACGACGATCTCCATCGCTGTGCTGTTGCTTGTCGTCTGCGTGTCTGTCATCTGCGTGTTGGGGTCGAGCGCCTCGAGCGCTCTTCGCGATCGGATGATTGTGCGTCTCGGACGCGTATTCTCTGCGGCTACGGTGATCATCTCCTCCGATTCCTGGGTTGCTGTCGGGTTAGGTCTCTTCTGGATCTTCTTCGTTGGGGACCGGCTCCGGCTCGGGCGATTCTCCTGGCATTGTCCTGGTTCCAGTGGCGGCCGTGCGATTCTCGGGTCCGGCCTGGTCCGGGTTTCCGATCCTAGGGCCGGCGACGGGGCCGTCTGTTCCGGAAGGTACCTCGACCGTAGGCCGTAGGCGGCCTTGATCTTGGCCTTCTCGCGTATCCTGGTGGGGCATCCGCCGTGCCATGCCTCATGTTCGCCGTGACATGCGGCGCATTTCCTTGGGGTCGTCGTGTCGCTCTTCGAGAGGCAATATCGGGTCGCGTGTTCTTGCGCGCAGTAGCCGCATGTTGTCGTTGCCTTGCATTGGGTTCCTATGTGGCCGTATGCGCAGCACTTGAAACACTGCCTCAGACGGCACTGTCTATCATATCGTTCGCATTGGAGCACCTGGCCTTGCCAGATGAGTCCCTCGTCGATCAGTTTGTTGGCGTCTTCTGCCCTTGAGAGCTCCACGACCACTGATGATGCCGTCTTTTTGCTGGCCGATTGGGTCAGCCAGCCTACGTACTTAATGTCTGCTCTGGGGATGAATGCTTTGTTGTTCTGCAGCAGGTCGTCTCTGACTTCTGTAAAGCGATCCATGTTCATGGAGCTGGTTCTGATGCCGTGCGCCAGCACTCCGTAGGTTGGGATTCTCACGGCGGCTTCGTTGCCGATGTGGTTTTCCCAATCCTCGGCAAACTGCCGGAGGGCCTCCATGTCTTTCGTCGTTGCTGTCTTGACGCTCTCTAGTTCCAGGGGTTATGCATGCTCCCTGCAAGTCCTCCTCGGGCGGCTACGCTGGCATATGACTGC